CGCGTCAGCCCTGCTCAGCATCGCCCTGTTGAACTCGGCGTACTCGTCGAGGATGACGGCGATGTCCCCTCGCGTGTCCTTTAGCTTATTCTCGTATTTGAGCTTGCTGAGGTGGAAGGGAGCCGCGTGGCCTTGGTTTGCAGTTCGGGATCTGGCCCTGCTCCTCTCGTTGTAGCGAGTGTCCTGCCACGGGGTGCACGGGTCCCCACGGCAGCTGTGACAGCCAAGCCCGCTCGACCACGTGTCCGAGGGCAGGATTGTCACCTGCAAAGGGCTCCTGCTGCGTGGGGAGAGTGGGATGGGAGCTTCTTGCACAGGTAATGTCTCAGACATCACCTGGGGGGAAAAGTCTTTTGGGAAGATGCTTTTGGAGGTAGAAAAGGGTGGTTTCCCACTCTTTAGGATTTGTTTTAGCTTATAATGGAAACGCAGACGCTCCATGTCCAAAGTGTGCTGGGTGATTTCCTCCAAACCCTTCCAAGTCCCTATCATCGACCTTAACAAATGAGACTGGCCCACCCAGCGGCCGCGTCTCTTTGAAGGTGGCGATTTTCCCATCCTTTCCTGGAATTTTTTGGTGACCAGGAAGTTCTGGTAGTCCTTGATGACCCCTTGGCTGTTCCGAATATTGACGTAGGGTGGAACATGCCTGCTGCTGGTTTCCCCCAGGCCGATCGGCCAGCTGCGCTCAGCCCACGAGCAGCCCCGCTCCGCGCCCAGCGAACCCCAGTCCTCGCTGCACCCCTCTGTGTGCCCTGAGCTCCCGGAGGAGGAATCGCAGCTAGTCCTTGTGCCTGCAGCATCCACGGATCTCATGCTGTAGGAATCCTTGGCTGTAAGCCAGGATCGTGAAGTCCCCCCAAAATATTCCTGGTCTGAGTCACTGGAGAAAGTCTCAAACAGACCTTCAAAGCTCAGGCCCGTGTGTCTGTCTTTGCTGGGGAGCTGCTTTGCCCTCGGGAGCCCACCCGAAGTATCCTCAGCGTCACTAAGCTCCAGGCTTTCCCCAGAGATTCTCCTGCACACGTGTAATGGCAACATCGGAGAGCAGAGAGCGGGGATTTCTCCCTCTTCCACCTCCACACTGGCACGGTGCAGATCAGCAAACGCGTCGGATCCCTCAGCCTCGTGCTCTCCATGGTTGCACACAGTTTGGGGCTCGCAGCGTGGCTCGAGCAACTCCCCTGCTGAAAAAGATGCAGGACTGGTGGAAGGAACACTGCTTCCTCCTTCCAAATCCTCAGGCAGGATGGGTTGCTTCTCCTGGCTCCCTGCCACGTCTGCTGCTTGGTCCCCAGGGCTGGCACACCTCGGGCAGCAAGACCACGGGGCACCATCCGGAGATGGACTCGTGCCAGGAGAAAGCATCTCGGGGTGCACACTGACCCCCGAGTCCGGCTCAGCACCGCGCAGACCTGCCTTGTGATCATGCAGAGGAGAAGGAGGCGTCGATCCCCGGTCACCTGGTACAAGCACATCTGCCGGGGAGCTCTCTGCTGGCTCTGCACGGCACAAATCCGCGTCTTTTTTCACCTCTTCTGCACATCTGGGCTCTAAGGAGTTCTCTGGGCTCTCGGCAGCCACGCTTACCTCTGCAGCACCTCCCTGCTCACAGGGCTTCCCGGGTTGGCACGGGGCTGTCTGCCGCTTGCTTTGCTCTAACAAGTGGTGGTGAGGCTCTGCGTCTCGGTCGTGGGGGAGGGGGTCCTGTTTTTGGGGAGAAGCAGGAGCCGAGCCTGCGCAGGCAGGCAGGGAGAAGCTTTTTGGGGAGCTCTGCTGCTGCTTGGAATGCTCCTTCATGGCAGACATCCCCTCTGTCACCAAGGAGGAAGGTTCTGATTCCAGCAGGTCACGACGAGAGGTCTCTGGTTCTTCTGGTACGTCAGCCACCATCGTTGCGTTTGTTTCGTCACCCTCGGGGGACTTATCTACACTGAGGCACGCATTGTCACTCTCCCCAGCTTCAGAGTCACCTGCTGAGGCTGGAGAGTCGAAGGTGAAGCCATCCCCTGCTCCCAAGGACTCATCCAGCACATCTGTGCGGTTGGCAGGAGGGCTGCTACGCTCTTCTTCCACCAAAACCTTCTTCTCTTCTTGGTTTGATTCACCAGCGCTCGGTGAGGTGAGGTCACCATAAATGTCACCTCCACACCTTTGGGAAAGGCAGCTGCTCCCTCCCAGCTCACTCTGTGATGGAGATCGGATGCTCGCCGTGGCCTCCTGCTCCTCTGCAGCAGCCCCAGGATCTGTTCCTCCATCAAGAGACACCAGGCAGACGGAACTGGAGCCAGGGGACGAGGTTAGTGCCGTGCCGCCAGCTTTGCTCCCAGCAGGCGCCCACATTTCTGCAGAGGGCGCACGATCCTCGTCTTTCTGCTCCAAACCATCCCCAAGCGTCTCTCCAGCTGATCCCAAGCTGCCTGGGGTGCTGTTTGGCTGTGCCCCACAGACAACACTCGGATTAGGCGGCAACGGCAGCACCAACCCGCTGTCATGGGGTGACCCCACACCGGCCGGACTGGCTGCATGTGCCAAACCAACACCATTTGTCTCTGCTCCTGGGGTGGCCAGAGCCTCCCGGGGCTCTTGCAGCGTGTCCAGGCTTGGTGGCATCTCACCAGGAAGCTCCTGAGGACCAGTCCCAGTCCCATCTGGCGGCACTGGTGTTGATCTGCCCAGGCAAGGGGATGCTAAAGCAGCAGGGCTGGGCACAGAGCCCTCTCCGGGAATGCCAAAGTCCTTCGGACACGCCGAATTCACTGGTTTTTGCTCGCCGTGTTCATGCTCCATGTCAGCATCACCACTTTCAGAAAATGCAAGAGGCCCCACAACCATGCTTTTATATTTCTCTTTTTTTCCCTCCTCCACCTCTTCCTCCTCTTTTTCTGGATTTCCAAAGCTGTCTTGTGATTCCCTCCCTTTCCCACTGGCTCCATCGGGCTTTGCGCTTTTGGGACTCGCTTCTAAGGGCATCGAATCACAAGCACGTCGCAGTCCATCGCTCATGGCCCAGCTGCCATCCTCGACCTCCGGACAGTTCCCAGCATCTCCCACATTTTCCCGTTCCTCAGGAGCGCTGGGGCCACCCACTGACCCTGCTGCCCGCTCCTGCTGCTCTCCACGTCCACGCAGCACGCTTGGCGCATCACTCCAGGGTGCTGCACTGGAATTCGGGGCTTGGCTGGATAAATCTTCCCTGCTCAGCGCAGCTGGGGGCTTGCCGGCATCACTGAGCTCATGGGAAGGGCTGGGAGCAATCGCAGCATCTGTCAGTCCCTCCTTGGGCAGCTCCTCCTGAAACGACACAATTCACAGGTTAATTTTCAAGGGAGACGAATACAGGAGCTGAGACACGCACGCAGGAGGATGTGGATGTTTTAAATGCTCAAACTTTGTGAGTACAACCCCTCCAACAGCACCTGAGGATGTTAGTTTGAGTTTTTCTCTAAAATAAATCCAAGTTGAATCCCTACCCTGCGTGAGCCACCTGCTATCCCCACTGCAGCTGGCAAGCCAAGCCCCCACAGACAGCCAGGGAAAGATTTTGAAACTTTCTACCTTCTTTACACCACAAAATGGTTTAAAAATAGGTTAAAATCTTCATGGGCCATCAGCTGGTGCACAGAGGCAATGTATATGGACAGTATGGACCCACATTTCCTCCCAAAACACTTCTGCCTGCTCCACAGCACTAAACCCAGGTGGTAAAAAACCACTGGGATATTTTGGGTTTTTTCCTTCGTGCAAAACCGTTGTGGCCCTATGGCAGCTGCCTGTTTGTTCAGAGCAAAAGTTTTAAAGGAATTCTTTCAGCTCAAAAATTGAGGCTCAAAAAATGTCAGCAGACGCCCATGGTTTATATGGACCCAAGTACCTCTACTCCTGATAATCTGCATACCATAAAAACAGTAAAAATTAATTTTAAAAGCCCTACCCAGAATAGAATATGAACAAAATTCACCAGGGGGGTGAGGGAAATGGTGCAAAGCACTGCACTGCCATCTGCGTGGGGGAAATCTCTCCAAGCCAGCAAACTTCAGCTCTCCCAAACCAGCAGAGGAAGGCTGTGCCGTGTCCCCTGACACGTCTGGGCTGCTGTGACCGTTGGCCAGCCAATGCCCACAGGAGACAGGCAGATTTCTGAGTGTCGGTCTGGGGTGTTTGTGGTTCCTTTCCTCCCTCAAGCGCAGGTCTGAGACCTCGTCTGAGCTCACACAGCTTGGAGCTGAAACCAGGAACAGAGTTCTGATCTCGACTCTTTAATTGCTCTAGAATTTTGGGTTTGCTTCCCCTTGGAGAGCATCCACGTCAAGGCTCTGCTCCCTTGGACCGGCTCATGCCAGAGCCCAGGGATGCCAGCTCAGTCCAAGAGGATATCCAAACCCAGACTGAGGCCTGAAAGCTTCTTTTTTTATGGTGACACTGAGCATATCTGCGTGGCAGTCATTTGGAGCAGCTAAATGCTGGGGGACATTTCTCTGTCCTGCTTTGAGGACCTCCACTGCCTGGGCCCACAAGCACGTCTGCTCCACTCTCCTCAAAAGATCCTATTTTGTGACCCTGTAGACTCGTATCACCCAAATCCCAAGCTCTTACCGCAGGGGTGGTCGAGATGTCACGCACGCGCTCCTCAGGAATGACGTCTGGCTGCCTTTCTTTCACAGCCAGGCTCTTGTCGGCGTGTTCAGCAAGGGAAAGGCTCTCGGGACAGCTCGTGGAGGAAGGCTCCTCCTCCCCACAGGGCAGCTCCCCTGAAGAAGACGATACCGTACTATTGACAACACCAGGAGCCTCATCAGCATCAGTCCGAGAGTCTGCAGAGCTCTCCTCTGGGTGGAAAGATCCCTCGCAATGTGTGCTGCGATCCAGAGAGCTGCTGGGAGTCTGGTCATGGTCAGGGTCTGACCGAGAGTCTTCAGGACACGTCTCCAGCTCAAAACCGTCCTCACTGTCATCGCTCAGCTCAAGAAAGTCCCCAATGCTGCTTATCGAGACGTACTTCTCGGGGTTGCTGTGCTCCACCACCTTCCTCGTGTTGCTCAGGAGTTTGTTGGGTTTGCTGTAGAAAAGAGCCACCCACATATGAAGAATCAGCTTCATCTCTTCCACGTCGTCGGGCAGATCAGGGTCCCAGGGCCTGGAAGGAAAAGCAAACACAGCCTGAAACATCTCCATCTTCCCTCCGTTCGACTAGCACAAGGTAAGTTATCTGCTTCCCCACGGTGCTAAGCCCCAGCGCAGGGGACCTGCAAGTGTCCAGCTGCAGTCACAGATCGCTTCATGCAGTTTACAGCTTATTAAAAAAAAAAAAAAAATAATCACAGCTACAAAGGAGGACGTGTTCATGGTACTAGGTACCAGTCCTAGCTGCAGAGCCACGGGAATCGTAGAATCATGAACTGATTTGGGTTGGAAAGGATCTTTAAAGATCATCTGGTTGAATTCCCGCCTGCCATGGGCAGGGACACCTCCCACTAGACCAGGTTGCCCAAAGCCTCATCCAGCCTGGCCTTGAAC